AAGTAATTTTATTTGAAAAACAGACAAAAATAAGATTTTTAATTATGGCAGAGTCTTGAAACAAATGAAGAAATAATAACTAAAAAGAAAGTTGTTTTATAGCGGGGAGTGTGACCAGACAGACAGTCCTCACGACCTCTTCGTGTCGCCGTCCTGCGCGGGCCGGCCGTGCCTGCGCTGCACGTGGTCGGCCAGGTGCGCCCGCCGCCGGCTGCGGTGGTCGCAGTACGGACACTGGAACGTGCCCGCCTTGCCGCACTCGAACTTGCGGTGCCGCCACAGCGACTGGTCGTGGTGGTACGCCTTGCCGCACTGTGGACACACAAACGAGCCCTGCAGCGGCTGCTGCTGCTGCTGCTGCTGCTGCAGCTGCAGCTGGATGCCCATCATCGCCAGCCTCTTGCCGGTGGTCGGCGGCTGTCCCTGGCGCGGTGGGGAGAGCGGTCGCAGCGGCGGCGGGCCCTTGTCCATCACGAACACGGTGTCGAACAGGCCCATGGGCGTGATCTCTGCGAGAAACAGAAAGAGCGTGAGCAGAATCGTACAATGTGCCAAGTCTCATCAGGAGGAGGGGGGAGGTTCGGGAGATCATGATATAAACGCAAGCTGAACTTGATCAGATTTATTTTGACTTGGAAAACATTTTGCACTATCCCTAACACACTTTGGTAAGATAAACTATCGTAGAGGGGCCGCGCCGCGCCTGCCCCCAGGGGTGCCGTCCCACGACGAGTGCACGATCTTGATGTGCTCGACGAGGCGCGACTTGCGCTTGCCGCGGTAGGGGCACAGGGCGCAGAGGAAGCCGGGCTCCTTGCCGCACTCGAATTTGCGGTGTCGGTTGAACGATGAGACGTAGTTGTAGAGCTTGCCGCAGTCCTCGCAGGCAAACTCGCGCCTCCGCGAGCGGCTCTGCAGCGAGGGCCTGACGGCCCCCTGGTCCTGCAGGCCGTGGGCCCCTCTACTGATCCACGCCAGGGGCGGCGGGCCACCGAGCGGGTCTGCAAGAGAACAGCGTTAGTAAGCGGTCATCGGGTGCGGCGCGGAGGGGCGGCAGGGCACAAGGCAGCCGGCAAAGAAAGGACTTGAGATGGAAAGAGGTATTTTATTTCTCCGACAAAACATCAAGGCGGGAATATAATTATGCAGCAGAGCGCAAGAGCTATGATCAGAAACAGAGCCTACTTGTTACTGTCTAAAATAATACCTCACATTTGATAAAAATAAAAATAAATAAATGAGTATATGTGGACTTCAAAGACGCCACCAAAGTATTTACACAAGTATCACCTTTACAGGTTAAATGAATCGGGCCTATGGCATATATAGGCAGGGTAAGATTCAAAACTACAAAGAACAATACGAGAAGGCGCGCGAGCAACATTCACTTGTCGAGCTTCTCTATCGGGTAATCGGGGTGCACCATGGACACGTGAGAGACCATGTGTGACTTGCGGCGGCTGCGGTGCGGGCAGAGGGGACACAGGAAGGAGGCGAACGCGGGCGTCGGCCCCTTGGCCGGGGGCGGCGCGCACAGCGGCAGCCCGGTGGGCAGGGGCGGCACCGGAGGCGGCGCGGCGGGCCGCGCTGGGAGCTTGCGGGGCGCCGCCGCCGGCCTGCTGCCGCCGCTTCTGGACGGCGACAAGTCCGTCAGTATGGGCATCAGGCCGCTGGGCAAGATGGCCTCGATCACTGCAAACAGGCGCGCCGCATTAGAGACAGAGGAGAGGGGAGGGGGAGCGGGAGAGCGGGGGAGCGGGGAAGGGAGGGGGTTGAGAGGGTTGAGGAGGGAGCAGCACCACAGCCACGAAACAACAACGAGAAACCGACACCCCGCACTTTATTACAAAGCTCTCGTCGTCAGGGGTACACAATGTCGACGGCGAGGGGGTCCTGGACAGAGTAGTCCATGAGGCGGATGGCGGGCACGTCCTCGGCGATCTCGGGCTCGTCGGCGTCCTCCCCGCCGGCGGCAGAGGGCTCCACGTCCATGGCCTCCCACACGCTGGCCTCGAACCACACCCGGTTCCACACGTCGGGGTGGCGCTTGCGCACGTGCTTCTTGATGTTGGAGCGCTGGTGGGCGCGGTGGGGGCAGGCGGGGCACTGGAAGCGCGGCGGCTTGCCGCACTCGTAGCGCCGGTGCGTGTAGAGCGACGAGGGCGCCCGGTAGACGCGGCCGCAGCGCTCGCAGCTCACCGGCCCGGACCCGGACACGCGACCTGCGGGCAGAAAGGGCGACGTTAGATGATACCAATGGCGGCACGGCGAGTCGGGGTCGGTTGACTGGCGGGCGGGTACAATCTGGAAGGAATGACACGACAGAGATGAAGGGTTGCAGCACGAGTTTATTCAGACGGACTACATCGGCGCGCGCTGGGTGGCGTCGTCGCTGTGGCGGGTCTCTATGTGGCGGCGGAG